TGTTCTGAGATCATGTAGCTTGTCCAAGTCTGCAATATAGTGTCCTTTTCATGACTGGTCTTCTATACAACTGTATACTCCCTTCCAAAAGTAAATGGGAGAATTTTTTTAATCTGCAATTATTTCTCTTACCAGTATCAAGTCAGACAAACACTGTATTGAACCTAATTTTTACACAGTAGTTCCTAACTTTCTGTTGTGACCAAGTAACATGCGTGCTCTGTTGTGGTTATAACTGGCTTATTCAGTCTATCTGTGTAAAGTTGTTAATGGGATTCTCAATCTGATTCTGTATTAAATCCTATATAACAGCTGCTTCACCAGCTGCTTCACCATAACCAAGATTTTTAAGAAAAATCCAGACCAGGAAAAATGTACTGTGCCATTTCTTTAGTGGATAAAAACAATGAGCCCTGAGATTAGATCAACACACACTCGTAGCAAGACATCCCATTAAGAAGTTATTGACTTGAAAGGTCAATATTAAAAGTCAGGTGATATAAAAAGAAAACACAGTCCAAGTCATGTCAGAGTTTTAAAGAACTCATAAAGGGTGGCAGAGTCTAGACATCATGAAGCATAGATTAGGACTATAGAAGGAGGATTTTAGACAATATAAGGAACAGGAGCTAGCATACATATCACACGAATTCTACAAAGTAAAGAATCAGATACGGATATTGTATAAGGAAAAAAGACAAGCCTTTATTCATAACCAAAGGAAGCAAGTACTTACCACAATATCCCTTAGAAAATCCAAACTATTTGGGGGGTATAGTGAATAATACAACTAAAAGCAATTTCTCACATCCAGCTAACATTGAACCAAATATTTGATCCAGACATTTCTCAATCTTGTTTTACAATAAAGAATACTCCACCAGTGTTACTGGTGAAGTCCTGCCTAAGAAATTCCCAGAAGGGCTCTGGTCACCCCTACAGAGATGAAGGAACTAATCTCCCAGTTAAAACTGGGCAAATCATCAGGATCTGATATACAATATTAAAGTTTGATATGGATTAGTGGACAGCACCATTGGCTGCCTTTTTTGCCATGGTAGACAAAACGGGCCTATTACCAATGCAATAGTATTTTCAATCGGGTGACCCCCTAAACCCTAGTAATTATAGACCAATCAGTCTTCTATCTATTATAGGAAAACTTTATGCTAAACATCTTTTAAACAAACTTGCAGCCTCCGAAGAGCAGATGGCAATACAGTGGGGTCTTGACTTAAGAACGGCTCGAGTTAAGAACATTTTGACTTAAGAACCACTCTCATAGGAAAATATTGACTTGACTTACATACTTAGATTTGAGTTAAGAACTGAAAAAAAAACACGTGGGAGGCAGGGAAAGTGCAAAATTTGAACTTTCAGTTAACTGTTGGCCAGTGAAAATGGCACCAGAGCTGGGTGAGAAAGGATCACTGGGGCAGGGAACCAAACAGGGAGAAAGAGAAAAGGGAAAGGAGAACGTAGAGTGGACAAAACCCCAGTATGGCCCTAATCAGAGCCACACAGTCAGGCCCTACAAGTAACAGTAGTGAACTGGCCTAGGGGAGTCTTGGCTGCATGCCAGAAAAAATAACCTTCCCATAGCCAGCCTCTACCACTACCACTCTGATTCATTTCAGGCAATGGCAGATTCAGAGGCAATGCTTACAGAGACTAGGCTGGAATACTTGTCATAGGCAATTCCTGGTCACTTTTGTGGAAACTATCAAGAACACAGTTTGTGTTCTTGGTGAGCTTTCTGTTCTTACTCTGTTGCAGGGCACAATGGGAACGATCCACCAACAGTGCACTATAGTTCTAGAGTATGTTTTAATTATAATTATAAAACTTATAGATTTAAAAATTATATTTAGAAATGGCTTTTTTGGCCATTTTAACAGGGGCTGAGAAGACTGGTTTTCTGGAAACAATGTTAATGTTCCTATACCAAGATAAGGCTGGTGGTGAAGGTGCAAAACAGTTTCTTCATACTGTCTGTGTTTCCTTTGTGTGCTGATGCATGGCTGCCCAGCCTGTACATTTGTAAAGAATTAGAAACTCTCATTTTCTACTGCTGTTCCTTCCTTTAAAGACTGCTCTGAACTTCCTACAACTTGAGAAGGTGGAGCAGGAAAAAAATCACTAAACATATCTCATTCCCTTCCTTGACAGGGTAATTGGGTTGATGGATAAGGGAAATGTAGTGTATGTAATATGGCTTTGGCAAGGCCTCTGACAATTCCAGATGGCATTCTCAAAAGTAATTGGAGAACTGTGATTTGGCAGATGGCTACAGCAAGGTAACAAATTCCAGAGGGGTAGTCTTGTTAGTCTGTTACGGCAAAAACAACAAAGAATCCTGTGATAACTTAAAGGCTATCAAGTTTATTGCAATATAAGCAAGAAGCCACTTTGTCATTTAGAGAAAGCATTCTCTGCATTCTCTTCACCTACACACGCAGCACGAAAGAGTATGGCATGTGTGTATGTGCATTTATTTTATGTGTTTTATTTATAGGATGCTGAGATCTGAGGGCTCAAGGCAGTTCATAGTATGTGTGTGTGTATGCAATACAAAATATATGCACAGTGTGTACATGTCCCATATAGAGTACAGTAGTATGCTTTTACCTTCATTCAGAACTTGGAGACAATTTGTTACAAGTAATAACACTGTTATATATAATTAATTCTCCTTTTCATGGCAGAACTACATTAAAATACAATTGTAACTTAGAGTAATAGGGGATAACATCACTCTTTTATATATATATAACTGTAACTTTTTAGTTACACTAATTGTATAGGTTCACATTTGTGATCTAGATACTGATGAGACCATGAAGTTGATGAGGAAAGAGTGGGTTTTGTAGCACAAGCTAGTGGCTGCAGGACAATTAACATTGTAACTGTAATGAAACAAATTAATCTAAGAGAAGTTAGAACTAGAAATGTTACTAATTGCTTTCTGAAGCAGGCAACCTAGCTCTGGTCTATAGGAATTCTTTTTTAAACTTTTCTTTGGCCAATCTCAGTTCTTCTTATATTTATTTGGGGCTCTTCCAGATGTAGCATTTATTCTCTGTAATGTACCAGGTTCTGTACCAATGATACTGCCCCCCCACTATGCATATAATGTTCCTTTTGTCTTGCTTAGTACAGTAACATTTTCCTTGACTTTCTGTACTCCTGAAAGCATAGTTTATTTTTAATATAAAACAAACAAAATAACAAATAGCAAGCTTTGGATGATAAATCACTTTCTTCAAGGCTGTGCATGAAGCTTTTGTGAGCAGTTCTAAATGTATGTGTTGTTTTTAATATCCCAAATTCACATGGCTGAAGGTGTAGAAGCCAGGTAAGCTTAGATGGAAACAGCTGCAGCATGCATGTTGGTTTCAAGCTCGTCTTTAGCTAGCAATTTAGAATTTATGGCCTATCACTTAAAACAGAAAATAGTCACAGGCAATCTGGGGAGGGTCCTCCTTCTCCCTTATTGAAACTCAAGGAGTTTCTCTTTAGCTGGCGGAGTGAAGACTGCCCAGTTAACATGGCCTGCCTATAACAGAGTTGGGGTTAGGAATTTAGTTAAACCATTAGAAATAGCGAATTTAAGCCAAATTAAAGCCAAATAAATAGTTTTACCTGGTGGATGCTGTTTTTTAGCATGCAGTACTGCTTGTTTGATGTCAAGAGTCCATGATGTTCGAGAACTCGTGTTGGTTTTCAGTTGATGCTCTGATCAGCCATTCTGTGGTATCTTACCATTCAGGAAAAATCAGGAAAAGGTTGCACATTCATGAAAACAATACAAATTCTAGTATCAGGGTATGCAGTTTAGCATTATTGTACATTCAATTGGAAGTTTCTGTCTAGTGAAGAAAACTTCCTGGTCAGATGCTTTCAATTATCACGCGGAGAAATAAAACTCTGGGAATCACACAAATGTGAGAGTGGGTGATACCTTTTATTAGACTACTAAAAATGAAACCACTTGCAAGCTTTTGTGAAGAAAATTACACTTCTTTAAGATTAGCACAACTCCTTTATGTATTGTGTACAAAAATTGTAAACAAGAATCCAAAAATTATCGGTACGTGTCCGTTAGAGTTGATGTAAGTCTTCCTGAATATGGGTTTCAAGTCTTTGTGTAGCATGGTTTGAAATTTCAACACCCCTCTCCTAGGACCAAAAAACTGCCAATTATTCTGATTTCCTCCTCGTCACCCCCAAACACAAACACACATTGCCTGCTCTGTGCAGCTCCAGACACTTCTCCAGTGGAGAAGGAGAGTTTCAAAGAATGCTTAATGATTTCATAAAGAAATGTGGTTTGCTTAAAAAGAAGAAATGTGGTGTTTTGTTTTACAGTTTGGACACAAATCCTGGTAGACTCCACACTCCTTCACAACCAAGTGAGAGAAAGGAAAGGGATACAACTTTTGCTATATATGGAAAAGCCTTGACTGGCTAGATAAAAAGTATGCAAAGATATTTTCTACAACTCTAGAATAATAATTTTGCTATAGAATTAAAAATAATAAATGTACTTTTGGCACTGAGATAATACAGCATAGTACTGTGAACAGTACGACTTGCTGGATTACATGCCAGCATATTTCCAGAAAAAGTATAGTTGTGTGATTTGCTATAAGCTTTTGTTGAACTGTAGACCACAAATGCATCTGATCAGATGGAGTGCATTCCATGAAAGGTTAATGGCACATAAACTTGTTGGTCATTAAGGTGCCAAAATACTCCTTGTTCTTCTTGCTGTGATAAAATAACCAAGCTAGCACCATGCCCCACATATTTCTGGGGTGGGTCTAATTTTTATAGCAAGCTGACTAATGCATAGCTCTAATTCTCATCATTTTCCAGTATCTTAAATCTGCCAATGTGATCTGTTGATCATGCTTTTTGGACACCATCCAAAATTACCTCCTTATGATACCTCAACATGTTTCATTGCCTTTAACCTGCAGTTATCCTTTTCCTTTCAGCGCCCTCCTTGATAGGTATGGTCAGGAAGGACTGGGCTTCCCAAAACAGCATTGCCCTCTCATGGCAACAGCCTGATTTTCCTAATGGAGCCATTCTGGACTACGAGATCAAGTACTATGAGAAAGTAGGTCTTGACTAAAATGAAATAAAACCCTCAAAGTATTGTGTTATAATATTTTTACTTTACTGTAGATCAACATACAATATAGCCTGTAGCTATTTATTTTTTGTTCCTCTTAAAATAGTGGGCCTGTTACTGTGTTAGGTCACCATTATTTTCATAGTAGCTTTCCCTGCAATTGGCCAATTAGTCCAATACTCAGTGCATTGATTGTACTGGTGGAAGCTGCTTCCACTAGAGGACTAAAGAGGAAATTCCCCTATCTTTCACCACAATTTTGCCTTACAAACCTTTAAAACCTACTCCAGTGGGCTGGGAAACAATCTGGGGCTAGGAATGGGCAACATGCAGCTTGCAGACTACCTGCAGCCCCCATTAGCCTAAGGAAAGCACCCAGCACACCTGTGCCCCTGCACTCTAAGAAAGGACCCTTATGCCTACTAAGGGACATGAAAGCAATCACTGTGCCTCACACACACTGTTTTAGATCCAAATGCTGTTTTTCAAATAAAACAAGTCCTTCTGAGCCTAAACCAGAAGAGGGGGACGACTTAGCACAATTTCCTCCTTGCCCTCCAAGGGCCATGAGGGGGCTTTTAAAAAATACATTTAAAAGTATGATTGATGGAGGCAGAATAAGGGAGATCCATCTAAAGTCCAGTGGTAAGTATGTGTCACCAAAATCTCTGGAAGTTGCCCAACATTGCTCTAGACATGTTATGTCATGTAATAATGTTTTTATCATTATGGGCAGAAAGGAAAGGAAAGAAAGATTCACAAGAAGATGTATCCCAATATATATTGATTCAGGAGGACACTGGCTTAGATCCTAGCATATTATTTTTAAAATGTTAAGAGAGAGAACGTTTCCCATCCCCTGCTTTCCACTGCAAGCATGTGAAAACCCCCGAAACATTATTGCAAAGAGTATGGGAGCCTCCAAATAATATGGGATAATTAGCTGATGCAGCAAAGCAGAATTGCCCCAAATCAGATTTTGATTCTAAGACTGTAATGCAAGAAAATTCACAGAAGGACTTTCTTCTCTCCTCCACCACCTAGATCATCCTTTTCCTCTCCCCATGTTCAATCTTTGTTGTTCACAATGGCCCAATCCACCACAAAGATTTTGCAACTGCAGGTGGTAAGAAGGCACAGTAACAACCTGTGAACTACCTTACTTATCTTGGTATCTAATCTTTTGAGTCTTTTTGACTCAAAGACATTGTTGACTCAGAATCATAGTGTATTGATTATCTTTATTTTCTACAGCTCTTATTAATGATTTTAGAGTGTCCTTTCTCCCTGCTCTTGTCATAGCAGTTGAGTTAATAACCGATTATTATGTATTCCTTACTGAGCAGTTAATAGCTTTATGGTCTTTTGCAGGAATGCACCTGCTGCTCATAAAAACATTCTGTTGTAGGAGATAGTTAGCTTAGATGACACATCTTGTATTTCCAGTGACCTTGCACAAACTGCATTAACAACTGGCCTGATTTCAAAATATTTCAGTAAAATTCCTTACCTTTTATGAAAAGCAGATCTGATGCCTGTTCAAGCATATTATCTGAAATTAGTACTTGTACATCCCTGCAAATTCTTGTTTCCTGTTGGATTTCCATTGAAATGTGCTGCAATTTTTCATAACTTGTGAAAAATAAAAACAGTTATCCTTTTCTCTTGTCAAGAGTGCCTTAAAAGGCCAAAAAAAAAAAAAAAAAAAAAAACCAGAGCACAGACAGAATTCTGACTCCTGTCCTCTGAAGATGCCAATCACAGAGACTGGCAAAACGTTAGGAAGAACAACCTTCAGAACATGACCAAAGAGCCTGAAAAATGCACAACCACCTCGCGTACTCATAGGACACGCAGAATAATACTGTAGTTCCTATTCCTCATGTGCAAGGACAAGACAAGAGAGGATTTTTACCCCTACTACTGTATATAAGGACTCTTTTGTGCTTTTTCTGCAAACACAGATGGAGAGAACCGTCTTGAATTGGCTGACTGAAGATTACTTTAGTTAGCAATAGAAACCCAGTTCCTCACAGAGATTAGCATAGGCTCTGTCTTTCCCTACAAGCCCTTTCTTCCCTGAAATGCCTCTTGCAGGATACTCATCTTTTGCATAATGGTTCCTTCTTTGAGTAGCTGTGAAAGGCTGGAGGGACCACACACAAACTCGCATGTACATCTGTGGCACTTAATTCCTTCATGCGATGTCCTTTGGACAAGTGGAAATAGCTTTATGTAAAGTTGAGCTGCATGACTGTATTGTAGTATTTTATACATTACAAGAGCCTGATGGGCTATATTTGCTCATCTTTTTTACTTGAATGTAATTCAGATTGATAATACTAGGATTGGCAAAGAAAATAAGGTTACTGTTCATGCTACTCGGCTTTCTTTAGCCTTGTCTATTAGACTGAACTTTACAGGCTACATTAGTGTGTGTTTTCTCAGTGACAAAGATAATACAGTTCCTGACAATGTGGAAAACATTTCTGCTTTAAAGTTTAAGAAATGTTCTCCACTTACTGAGATGTGGGGATATTTAATGAACCAATGGTCCTAGATAATTTACTGTGAAAAATATTAATAGCAATACCTTACAGAAGGGATTTGAATTACAACCACTGTATAAATAAAGGTTTGTTTATAGTTGGTTCAATTCAGACAGCTAAACTTAAATCCCACAAAGATATATGAAGCCAAATTTATAAAATCCCAAAGATTATACTGATAATGAACGTGAATGCTCTCAAATCAATATTTGTGGTAGTTCAAGCATGTTGTAGGATGAAACTGTCATTATCTTTCAGCATTGCTATCTCTCTTCTCTTTCCCTTCTCAGTGCTCTGCAACATTGGGAATTGGGATTAATGACAACACTTGCTTTATTTTGGGCCAATTCCATAAACATACAAAACATAGTTTTTGACATATTGATTCTAAACCTTTCTTGTAGGAAAACAAGCATTATTGGAGCATTATATGGCAGCTTGAAGAGTGGTGATCAATATTTGAGCCATTGTGGTGTTTTCCCCCCATCCTTTCCACTTTCCATCTTGATTAATTCTGACTGCAGTTGCTTTAAGTCTGATTTAAGAGATGAGCCCGAATTTCAATATTGTTGAACCTTGCATATTTGATTGTTTTTAGCTTCTCTCTTTGAATCCCTAGTTTCTCAAGAAATAATAACCAAGATCTAGTGCTATATTTCTGATGGGTTCTACTGTTTCCATCAGAACTAGTAATCGTCCCTCTTGCCCCCCACAGACCCCTGTTACTCATCCTAAAAACTTGCTTCAAAGGGCTGGGAAACCCTCAGAAGCAGATTTTTGGTGCCACCAAGGGCTGCAGCAGAAACAGAAGAGCAATAAAGTTCTGATTCTGTTGGTATTGAATCTGAAAGAATCTCAACGAATGGAAAATGCCCGGGCGCAATTCAAAGTGCTTGTTTTGACATATAAAGCCCTAAACGGCTTGGGCCCTGGATACCTGAAGGCCCACCTCCTTCCATATGAGCCTACCCGGCAGTTAAGATCTAGCCAGGGGGGCCTTTTGAAAGAAACATCCCTCAAGGAGGTAAGAGGGATGGCTTGTAGACAAAGGGCCTTTTTGGCAGCTGGCCCCAGACTATGGAATGCCCTCCCAACTGAGATTCGTCTGGCGCCAACACTGATGACATTTCGGTGCCAGGTCAAAACCTTCCTGTTCCAGAAGGCTTTTAATTGAAATAACATCAACTATGGGTCCTGATGATGGCAATTTTAATTGTATTTTAATTGCATTTTAATCATTTTATTTTTATTGTATTGCACCATTAGATCATGGCCAGTATGTAAACTCTGATTTTTTTAAAAAAAATTGACCTTATTATATATCACCAATTATAAATAACCTGTTCTGCTAGCTATGAAAATACAATGTATAAGTACTGTGTGTAACCCTCTTGGTTTCTGTCTGTTCCCTGTCTCTACTCACCTCATCTTTATTCCTTGTTTCTTTTTTTTTCATAGTGTATAATCTATTTAAAGTCATATTTCAATGGAATTGATTTTACTCAATTATTTGTGCATATTTTTCTCACTTTGTTGGTAGCTTTGGTAAGGCCCTGGCTGGAAATCTAATCTAAAATTTCCAAAATGCAAAACGCATATTCAGTATTTCAAGCAGCAAAACTTTTTTTCCAGATTAGAGACAATGGGGATGTAGACAGAAATGTGATCAGCATGTGATTGATTATCCCAGTACATTGCTCACGAATGTTCAAGGGTAAAAAAAACTGCAAGCAATTGTTAGGCATCCATAACATAACATTAAATAATAGCAGCTAAGCACTTAATCTGAACTTTCACACATCAAGTGAACCAGTTATCCTTTATATTAACACTAATTTGTTTTCAAAGTTTAGCTATTTATAGAGCCAAAACAACAGAACCTTCAAAACAGTAATATCCTGAAAGATGCCATGGTAGCCTAGCTGGAATCTGAATAGGAAGACTCCTCACTACTACATTAAAAGGCATATTCAACTTGTTTGTTGTATCTTATGATAGTATGGTTGTATTGTCAATCAGTTTCCATTATTAAATAATTTTTAGCCATATCCATAATCTCTACTGTCTTGCCTGAGGCCATGTTGCTTTATTTCTCTATATATTGGTCTTTATACTCTTCTTTGTAATTACTGCTCTCATTTTACTTGGGTTTTTTTTTCTCAGATAGTGATGAACAGCAGGAACTATCAGCCATTTGTTCACAAAGCTAGATAACCTTTCCTATTATGTTCTTATCACACCTGACTCCAAGTGGAATCACACTTGATTTCACAATTGAGATGTGTCCTGGACCTCATCAGTTAGCTGCAATTTGCTGTGGTAAGTCATGCAATCTTACCTGCACAGCATGAGAGAGAGAGAGAGAGAGAGAGATTTTCCTCTTTCTGTTTACATATGTTATATGGAAGTGCTCAACTCTTCCAAGGATACATTGCAACTGGACTGCAATCAGGGTCATGTTTCAGACATGTTAACATTTTATTTTCCATGTGTCTTTTGAAACTGCAAATATGTTTCCATTCTGCAAAGTGGTTTTGCCTTTTTAAAGAGAACTGTTGAGACTTGTGCAATTTGCCACAGCTCTGGTCCATGGGGGTCACGAAGAGTTGGACACGACTTAATGACTAAACAACAACAACAACAAATTGAAGCTAACTGAGAAGGTGCCACAGTACATCTTGTTCGTGTGTCTGCTCACACACCTGATTCCACAACTGAGATGTGCCCTTGACCTCATCAGTTAGGTGCAGTTAGCTGTGGCAAGTTATGCAACCTTACCTGTATAGCAACAGGATTTTACAATAGTTTATTTACCTAGGTCCAAAGAAAACTCAGTGGGTTATTCCTAAAAAATAATGGTTTTCTGCCCTATACTTCAACATTGCACAGATACATTAAACCTAGTCGTCTCTCTAGCCCCGTTTAGTGTGTTTCAATTACCTAACATAAACTTAAAAAGTAATTTTTATCAGAAATAAGGCAGGTGAGAGGAATGTATTCTCTCTATATGGATTATAGCAGCGAATACAGTGTTAAACCCGTGGTTAGGTGGACTGATAGCATAGCACATTTTTGTCCAACATGGGACATGTGCAATGGGGATTCATGTCTAACTGCTTTGGATCCTAGATCTTATCTCTAAAGTCTTCCTGAAGAATGTTCTAGTAAGACAGAATTTGTACCTAAAATGAAAAGTGTTTTGGAGATATTTTTTTTATTCATTTCTTTGTCCTTTAAACTAAACGTTGGAATTTTCACTCACCTGCAGATGAGACTTTCTGGGATGTAAGCTAATATTTTATTCTGTTTTGTTGGCTTTTATGTGATTGTTTGAATCATAGAATCTCCCACTGCAAATATGCATGAATTTAACATAGTCTGGTTGCCTTTTTAATTATACCCTAATCCTAAAACTTGTTGAGTGGCCAACACTTAATTGGTTTTTAGAGAACATGGTAATAGTCTGTTTGCTGTTTGTATCCTTTGTATACTCTATTTATATGTACATAAATATTTTACGTTTTTCTTGTTCAGTTTACATGTTGATTGCTATTGCAAAATGTAATAATATGCTGGAGACTTCATTAAAAATAAATAGCAACCTGAGGACACCCTATAGTACAATTTTTTAAAAGAGTCTGCCCTATTTTAAATTATGAGCACCACAGATCATTTTTTTCTCTCCCCACTAGTGCTTCATTTTCCCTGAACACTACAACTTAATTATATAGCAATTGTTATGTTCATTTATGCTGCTGAGATAGGGGTAATGCACTGTTCCTCCTGAGCTGCGTTAAAAACTTTGCTGTGCCATAAATCACTTCATTTTAGTTGTATTAGAGTAGAGACAGTAAGGCCAACTGTATTTATGGACCACTGTTTTATAGTAGATAACCACATCCAACAATTCCCATTCTGCCAATGCAGTAAAACTTTTTTCTCCCTTCTCCAATACATTTTCAATGAACCGTATTTTCATCACATTAGTAGCCTAAGAAAGACCTCTGATAATTTAATACACCAAATTCCTGAACATTATTTTATCTTATTAACTATTCTTATGGTATCTTTTGAGTACCAGTTATATCTCATGGGGATGCTTATCGATAATTCTCTCCTCATCTGAATTATTGACAAAAATTTTCAGTAACTTCAAGCAAATTAGAAAAATATGAAAGAAGAGTAAGCCTGGAGATGTAGTTAACTAGGGAACTACAAATATATTTCTTGTTTGTTGCTAAGTATATTGACTATCCTTTTGTCACTTACCCCTCCAATCCTTACAAAAGACAATGGTTTAATATGAATCCTGCTCTGGCTGGAATTACAGTGGTGCCTCGCTTAACGACGTTAATTTGTTCCAGCGAAATCACTGTAGAGGGAAAATGTTGTAAAGCGAAATTTAAAAACCCATTGAAACGCATTAAAACACAGTTAATGTGTTCCAATGGGCTAAAAACTCACCGTCCAGCGAAGATCCTCCATACGGCGGCCATTTTCAGTGCCTGTATAGCGAGGAATCCGTCCCTAAGCACAGCGGGGAGCCATTTTGAGCACCTGGTGGCCATTTTGAAACCCGACAATCAGCTGTTTTGATCGTCATAATACAAAGATTTGGTTCCCAAAGCAGGGAACCGATCTTCGCAAAGTGAAAAAAACCCATTTAGACCATTGTTTTGCAATTGCAATCGCAATAGCAAAAACATCGTCGTGAAGCGGATTTGTCGTAATGCGGGGTAATCGTTAAGTGGCGCATGACTGTAGTTATAGTTAGTAGCACTTAAGCCTGTAGATTTTGATGTATTCAAGCAAGCCTGGCTCTGTTGCACTGCAACCACTGGAAACAAAAGAGTATCTAAAGGAGAACCCAATGATTATTTCTTATTTCTTTACAAAAGACATCATATCACTGTAATGTAGCCAAGCTGATCTCCCTAATAATGCTGCTGTCAGCAGAGGATGGGGCCACTTCAAGCACAACATTTTTTCCTGAAAAGATCCAGGGAAAAGTTCGTTTCCAGCATCATGTGTGAACATCATACACCCATCTACTTTACAACATACTTAGTGTCTTCTGGTCTATGTATACATATCAAGATGCAAACTTCTGGTAGCCTCATATGTCATATCAGAAATAGTTAAACATTTGTGATTTCATCTGAATGGAAAGTCTGACATACTGTAAATCACAACTATTCCACAGCACTTATGTTCATAGTTGCTATGACCAACTAATCACCCAGTGCCAACCTTCTGAGCATCTATGCATTTAGCTAGGCTGGTCTTGGTTGACAGCTAAACAGCCTGTCATTGAGGCTATACTGTACACTAAGTCTTAGGAAGTTGATACAATCTTATACTTCATTCGTGTAGCCTCAAGTAGCTCAGGATCCTCATAATAACATAATAAGAAAGCACAATACTATTATCATTTATTTTATTTATTTAAAATATTTTACCCAGCTTTTCTCCTTAAAAAAGGTCTCTAAGGGGCTTGCATTATTAAAAAGACAATATTTGAAAGCTAAAAACAGTAAATATACAAATATTAAACAAGAATTAAACAAATAGTATATTAAAAATGGGAAATAAATACTAAAAGCACATTTAAAAGCAACAAAGCACAATACATTTTAAAAAAAACTCTCAATCACTAAGAGAAAGCCTGCCTGAAAAGAAAGGTATTTGTCTGCTTGCGGAAGGACAGCAAAGATGGGCCCAGCCTGGTTTCTCATGGGAAGGAGTTCCAGAGTCTGGGAGCAGCAACAGAGAAGGTCCTCTTTTGTGTCCCCACCAAGCACACCTGTGAGGGTGGTGGGACGGAGACAGAGACCTCTCCTGATGATCTTAACACTCAGGCAAGGCTCATAAAGGGAGGTGAAGTCCTTGAGACCGCTTGGGCTCAAGCCATTTAGGGCTTGATAGGTTAGAACCAGCACTTTGAATTGTGTCCAAAAGTGGATTTGCAGCTGATGGAGCTGCTGTCATGGGGAATAGGGAGTTATGTGATCCCTGCAACCAGCCTGAGTTAACAATCTGGTTGCAGCATTTTAGGGCCACTGAAGTTCCAAAGGCAACCCCATGTACAGCATGTTACAGTAATCCAGCCAGAATGTAGTTAAGGCATGTGTCACTCGGCTACAGTAGGACTTTGTGGAAATTCACATGTCATAGTCTGTACAATATATTCACATATTTCCATCTATACTCTTATGTGCCTGAACTCTGTACCATGTGATGAGCAGTGTTCTAAATACTTCAAAATACTTACTAAATGCTTTATCTGAATTTGACAAGCCATTTCTCCCACCCCTCAGATTTATTAGTATGGTGAATATTACGGTATGTAGATGCAAGAATACTAATTTAATTTATTTATTTAAAATACATTTCCAAACTATTGAGACAGTAGGGCCCTGTTTCAGGATTGCAAACACAAAATTTAATTTTGTGTTAATTTTCACTCTGTTTTACCCGGAACTCTACCCATGGACAGTGCCAGCATTTTGGCACTACCTGAGGGTAGAAGTGAATAGTGGGCATTTAAATGTTTCCCAGATGTACACATTATGATGTCTTGATTTACTGAAATCCTAATGTGTCCATTATTTGAAGTATGCAGCTGCCTTTTTAGATTACGTTTTCTTTCAGTGTTGTTACTTAGTTGTTTAGTCATGTCTGACTCTTCGTGTCCCCATGGACCAGAGCATGCCAGGCTCTCCTGTCTTCCACTGCCTCCCGGACTTGGGTCAAATCTTTCAATGTAGTCTTGTACTAATATTATTTTGACCCCAATGTGATTACTAACCCAATTCACAAGGAGACATTTCTCACCCTATGAATGATAACACATTTCTTAAGAGTCTGTCATACAACAGTTTTTGCCCCTTTAATGAACATATTATTACATTCATAAGAAACGCATTTTTAAAGGATTATTATAATGTAGCTTTCACAACTCAACTTGACAACATTTCCCCCCACCCCTCTTTTGTCCCTCAGGAGCATGAACAGCTCAGCTATTCTTCCACAAGGTCGAAGGCTCCAAGTGTTATCGTCACAGGCCTCAAGCCAGCCACCAAGTACATATTTCATATCAGAGTCAGGACTGCAACAGGATACAGCGGCTATAGCCAGAAGTTTGAATTTGAAACTGGAGATGAAAGTAAGTCTTAAAGATAAAGGAAGGTGGCATATATGATAGAAGTAGCATCTAAGCCTCATGGAGATTAGAAATTAAGAGTACTAGGTATAACAAATTCCATTACTGACACAAAATCTGAAGGTGTGTTTTTTTAAAAAAAACACTTTAAGGATATATTGTTTACAAATAAACCCTGACCCCGTAAGGACCAACCTCCTGTGTATTCCTCAGATTTTTTTTCAGCTACTTTTTTTTTCATGAGTCTTAGCCATTCAGCAGTCATGACAAATGAATTCATCCTGTTTTTCAGTAAGATCCAATGAAATTAAAGTTCTGAATTAGTTTGCTGTTGCTTGCACTGGAAAGAATCAATTCTTTGCAAATATTCACATCAACTACTCACAAATGATCAAACTTTTTGTGGTCTGAATGCTTCTACAAAGGACACATTCAAACAGTGCATGGTCAGTTACCCTTTCTCAGCCCAATGACACCTTGTGGCAGGCATGGGAAGGCAGAGGTAATGGACACCCATGGCTTGCCCTACAGTTTGGCATGGCGAGGTGGCTTCATCAGTGAGCACATTTTGTGTACTGAAAGGATGTCACATTCTGAGTTGTTAGTTTATTATCATTGTAGTTTTTCTAAAAGGGAGTGAGAGAAGCACATGTGGAATATCTCATCAAAAGGAATTGGCTGCCTTTACTATGTACCTGGACATGAATGGCTATGGCAGGGACGTATCAGTTGTTCTTCGGCCTCAGGGAACAAAATTTCTTGGGACAGCCTTCTGAGCACCTCATGTCCTGGCAGATCATCTTTTTCCCCTGGAGGCTGAGATTGAGACTATTAGTCCCAGAATTCCCTGGTTCATACGGAATTGATGCAATGCTCACCTTGATTCTGCTAGAGCTTTAACACAGAATACATGTGCTGCATTTCTGCAACATGAATACTATGTGCTAGGGTTACACAGCCGCTAGATTGGTGTCCACAAGTCCATATTCTGTGGGCAACCACAGCTTGTGAAACATTCAAAAAATGCAATTGCCGGCCATTGCTGCATGGGATAGAAATAAAATAAATAAATAAATAAATAAATAATATTTCACCTATGAATAATGAATTTATTTATTTATTTATTTATTTATTTATTTGTTTATTTATTTATTTATTTATACCGTATTTGTCTTCAGTGTGGCATGGATTTGCACTCCTGAATTGGACTTTTCAGCCACACTAGATGCTGTTTCAAGTCCTCTATTTAGAGCATGTTACTATCGTCTCTCAAGACTGAAGGATGCCTAATCTAATCTGTGCATTTTATCAGTTCATATAAATATATACAGTGGTGCCTCACTTGACAACGATAATCCGTTCCAGCAAAATCACTGTAGAATGAAATCATCATCAAGAGAAAGTAAAAAGCCCATTGAAACGCATTGAAAATTGCTCAATGCATTCCAATGGGCAAAATAAGTCAGCGTCCAGCAAAGATCCTCCATAGGGTGGCCATTTTCAGGTGCCTGTAATGTGAAAAATCCATCCTAAGCACAGCGGGGAGCCATTTTGAAAACCCGACAATCAGCTGGTTTGGATCGTCGGGAAGTGACTGTTGGGACTATTGGGACTGTGTGTAACTGAAAGGAGGGCCCACAACTCCAGGGGAAAGCGTGCCAGGAGAAAAGCTGTGCCGCAGTTTGTGCACGCCGTGGCATTTTGGCAAAGGTGAGTGGTTTTAAAACCTGACTGGGATTGCCTGGCTGCAACATTTCTTCCCTTTTTTGCCTCTCCCTCTTTGCTGCCCCTTGTTTTAGTGAGGGCTTTGGCATTGCTTTGGGACAGGCTCGGATTCAGTCTCTCCTACCATAGTTTTTACCTCCTCTCCCCACTTCTTGGAGCACTTTAATTCATAACCTTTTTGTTTACCTTGCTTTGCCTGTTGTTCATGCATTCGGAATGAATAGGAAGTTTTTTTTCCACCCCAAAGTTCAGGTGAGAACTGATACTAGGCTGTAAGAGAGAACCTCCTCAGTACTTCAGTTTTCTGCTTGTTTATTTCCTTAAGAATTTTAAGGGAGATTCAAATGATGACACACTGTCTAAAATTCAGACACAAGAACAAGTGTGCATGTACAAAGACATACTGTGCAGTTGAGAAATTTCCTTAAAACTCATTTGTTCTTATTCGATGTAATAAGAGAATTTTAAACCTAAGGAGTAAATGGAAAATTATTCAATTAAAGGATTTATAATGAAGAAAGAATTGGTGTGCATTTATGCAAGCTATAAGTGCAATCAAGGGATGTAATTGGATCTGGAGTTTGGGCTGGAGGTTACAATGGAAAGTTTTAATTTCATTTCATTACATACATTAAATAGTTTTGGTAGAATCATACAGTAAAAGAGATTTTTAGAAAAGTGTATTTAAACTTTAGAACCACAGATAGATATAAGAGATTCGTTCCTCTTATTGCTCCTAAACAACCCTTCTTTAAGAGTTTCCAAGGTTTGTTTACATTGGGTTAAAAATTGAGGTACAGCAAATATTAAGAGTTGATACAAGGGCTTAACAACTGCCTTGCTTCCATAGACAAAGGGCCAGGTGAACCTGTACAGTATTCTTTCTTCAGCAATAGCAATGGAAGGTTAGAAACCTAACTATGGATGTTAGAAACTCTGCACAATGGAAATACTGGTGTTGACTGGCTGCAGCAGCGGCTCCTCTCCCATTTAACTCTTGCTGTTAGAGTTGTCTGTTGGTTCCCCACCCCCACCCCCTGCTTGCCTCCCTTGCTGAGGAGGCAGCGAATTTTTCCGCTCCCCTCCGTTGTTGTGACACATGGCCCCAGTCTCTCTCACTTACTGGCTTTTGCCACGTGGGCAGCTAAAACTAGGTAGCCGTACGGCAGGGCAGTCATTTAGGGAACCAATCATCGTAAAGCGAATTTTCCCTATCTAAACATCATTTTGCAATTGCTATTGTGATCGCAAAAACCTCATCGTACAGCAGATTCATCGTACAATGAGGTAATCGTTAAACAGGGCACTGCTGTATTATGAAGGGGGTTAGCCATTAAATCCAGAACTTCCCATGTTGCTACTAGCTGCAAAATGTCAGGAACTTGCAGGTTGTAACAGCTACAACCAGTGATTTCTAGTTATCGTGACTGAAAGCTACAAATTTGTCCTGCTGTATTACAGATCATGACTGTGGCTACGTAATAAAACAATACCTTAAGACTCACTGTCCAAAAAACCATTCCTCAAAATATTTTCTAGAAAGTGGATTGCAACCACAGAAAGTTTTGCAGATAAAGATAAGATGTGAGAACATCTCAGCATGATGACATTGTATCTAGTGACGATCTTCCACCAGCAAAATGGAGACAATCAGATTGATTCCTCTCATTCCTCTGCAGAGAGACCGTCTGGAAAATATTTGGGAATGCCTGAGTCTGTGGGAGAAGGAGGGAAAGGGGAGCATCTGCTATGTATATGTAAATCTGTTAGTATATCTGTACCATGTGAAGTATCTCAAACAGTCCAAATTCCGTGACTGCTTCACTCAGAGAACAGGTGTAGAGGTTATTTCCAGCATGCAGGCAGTTTCCATGCCACTTTTATCTGTACCTAGAACATCTAGAGTTTGGAAATTCCACACATTGGGTTAAGCCATATGGCACATTTCTCCGTGCATGTGTGTTTGATGGCAAGTGTGTATGGTAGGTGCTATAGTAAAATACCTTGTTAAATCAAAACTATGCATCACCATATATTTTGAAGGTTGCATGTGTACTACAGATGACCATGCAAATATCTGACATTAATCTGACTTTTTTTAATGCAAATCATCTTAGAATCCCACCTGCTGTCTATTCTTTGGGATTCAGTCAATTTGGTTTGCAATCTGTGGTGGTAAACTGTATCTAAATCAGTTGGATTCTAAACTAAGTCTATGTGTGCTCCGATTGGGATGAAAATTGTTTAGATTCACTTTCCATGGTCTATTCATTTTTACTGTTTTTTTCATGCATTCGGAATGAATAGGAAGTTTTTTTTCCACCCCAAAGTTCAGGTGAGAACTGATACTAGGCTGTAAGAGAGAACCTCCTCAGTACTTCAGTTTTCTGCTTGTTTATTTCCTTACGAATTTTAAGGGAGATTCAAATGATGACACACTGTCTAAAATTCAGACACAAGAACAAGTGTGCATGTACAAAGACATACTGTGCAGTTGAGAAATTTCCTTAAAACTCATTTGTTCTTATTCGATGTAATAAGAGAATTTTAAACCTAAGGAGTAAATGGAAAATTATTCAATTAAAGGATTTATAATGAAGAAAGAATTGGTGTGCATTTATGCAAGCTATAAGTGCAATCAAGGGATGTAATTGGATCTGGAGTTTGGGCTGGAGGTTACAATGGAAAGTTTTAATTTCATTTCATTACATACATTAAATAGTTTTGGTAGAATCATACAGTAAAAGAGATTTTTAGAAAAGTGTATTTAAACTTTAGAACCACAGATAGATATAAGAGATTCGTTCCTCTTATTGCTCCTAAACAACCCTTCTTTAAGAGTTTCCAAGGTTTGCTTACATTGGGTTAAAAATTGAGGTACAGCAAATATTAAGAGTTGATACAAGGGCTTAACAACTGCCTTGCTTCCATAGACAAAGGGCCAGGTGAACCTGTACAGTATTCTTTCTTCAGCAATAGCAATGGAAGGTTAGAAACCTAACTATGGATGTTAGAAACTCTGCACAATGGAAATACAGTAGTCTTTTGTCGTTACCATTTGGAAATGAGATTTCTTAGTAGAATTATACCATAGGTAATTGAGAAAAAGCAATAGCAATGGAAGGTTAGAAACCTAACTATGGATGTTAGAAACTCAACTCTGCACAATGGCAGTAGTCTTTTGTCGTTACCATTTGGAAATGAGATTTCTTAGTAGAATTATACCATAGGTAATTGAGAAAACTGCACACATCTGTATTTTACTATAAGTCATTATT